CGGCATTTCTAAACTTAATCGAGAATAGATGTAAAGACTATAGCTTTAACTTAAAATATAGACTGTGTGCTTATTTGTCACTCTATTCTATAGAAAAAGTTACGTTTTCCGTTTTTTCGTTGAATTATAGTGCCGACAGAGATTGTACGGTCTCTTAGCGTATGAAAATAAAGCTTTTTACTGAAAAAAAAACATCAGAGATTAAGCTACCCAAGCATATAGTTGCTGCGTAAAAGAATCCATCATTCTATTTTAGTCTGCAGTTGTCGGAAAAAACGACTAAGAAAAATGCCATAACTAACACGTTAAACCAAAACGAAATATCTAAAACGATGACGGAACGGATTTGTAGATGTCTGGTATTTTTTCCAATTCAATAAATTCCAATCCGGCTGCCTAGAGTTCACCATGATACCACTAGGCAAATTCTCGCAATAGGTGAGACCAACGTCAACATTAGAATTTAGCGGTTTGCAAATAATAAATAACAAATATTTCTTACCACAAAAAGTGTATATATGGTAGAGTACAAAGTGCATTCATCAAATTCCCTCAGTTCCTTGCGAACACAAAAAACAAAAATCAGTCAATAGAACTTTTCACCAAAGCTCAATATAAGTGCGCCGCTTTCTTCGATCATCCTTTGGAATCGTTTACCATTTACCGAAAATGTTTCATATAAATCTGTGACGAGCTTTGATACTTTTAGTGAATGTTCTAAAATGGCTTCAGTGTTAGTACTTGTTCAATGTTAATCAAAAACAAAAGTCACTGCTGTGAGTGTCTGTTCCTTTTTATTCTAATTCTTTGCTGGTCTGAATGTGCTTGCGATTTTATTTGCATAGAGATTAACGCTATACAGTAAAATATTACAAAAGTAAAAAGAACAAATAAAAGTAAATATTTTTTAAGAAAAATATGCAGCCCTTCTGATGGTAAGTAGCTGTGGCCCATAAACATTTACGTCTATCCTCGATCAAGAATCAAAATGCAAATACTTTGTTCCCCTGAGGACTAATATGGAATTCCTCGTATCCAGTAAAAAGAGTTTCCGGTTCTCTACACCCACTATACGAAACACAGCAGCATGGAGCAGAATGGAGCTACTATTTTACGCTGGTATTCTGTGAGAGTGTGGTCTTTCCCCGGTCAAGCCGACGCATTCGCCTCCTTTTACAACTATACCTATACATATATATCCCACTACAAATAGAATAGAGCTGCAGCATAGCTCTACCACGTATAAACTACTAACGTACTAGGAGTGTCTTCTTAATTACTAATATTCTGGTAAGCTTAAAATGGTTGCAACAGGATTGGTTCTTGACAATCTCAAATGGCGGATTAAACTCACTAACTTTTGGTTTGCTAGCCCTTAAACACAAGGATACTGTCGCTTACTTATTAAAAAAGTGTTAGCAACTAATATATTTATAAAAGTATTTTTATGTGATTTACGTTAAGACTTGAGCCGTGGTAGCTCAGATGGTTAGCGCTCGCTGTAAATTTCATAATACGCGAGCAAACCGGGTTCGATCCCCGCCGGAACCAATGAAATTGTTAATTGCAATTTCAAGTGCTGATTTACCACGTGCTCGTCGGTGAAGGGAAACATCGTGAGGAAACCTGCATGTCTGAGAAATAAGAAAAAAATTATTTCGAAGACATGTGAAGTCCGCCAACACGCATTGGGGCAGCGCGGCGGACTATTCCTTGCCCTAAAACCCTCTCAGAAATGAGAGGAGGCCTGTGCCCAGCAGTGGGACGTATATAGGCTGTAACTTTGCTTTTACTTTACTTACTTTTACGCTAAGACTAAGGCAAAATTCAAAGTAAAATATAAAAACGAACCATTAAATAGTATTATATTTTAAATAAATTTAAGCAACAAGCATTGATCATGAGATGTTATGATCCCGGTGAGAATACTAGGTCATAGTCACGAAACTATCTCGTTATCGTCGGTTCTTAAAACTTTTGTAAAAATTAAAATTAATCAGACGTTCGGAAGTAGTTAAAAGTAAAATTAATAATTCCATTATTAGCACATAATATAGTCCAAGTTCTTACAAGGGTGTTTATTATTAAAAATAACGTACACACAACAGAAATATAATTTATTTAAATAAATAAAATAGGTGGTATAGGATAATAGGGCCTTGGTATCTTACGAGCTAAACACTGGAATTTGATTTAGACTTTTCGTTTGTACACAGGGACCTGTGTTCCAACCTCACCAGAAGCAGCTAAATTGTTACTTGCAATATTAATTTCTAATGTATTACCTGCTCGGCGGTTAAAGAAAAGGTAAGAAACTGTCATGACTGAGGAAAATATTATATTGAGAAATATTTCTAGGATATTAAAATATATACTGCCAACACGCATGGATTAACTTTCTTTAGTAATTTATATTAACATATACCTATATTTACTTTAGGAAACAAATGCAGAGAATGCATGGATATCTATACATTAACATATGAAGGGTAAACTTTGTGTTTAGAAGTATGAAATATGACATAGTTAAAGTATATAGCGAGAAGAAATGCAGAAAGCTAAACTTAATAAGCAATATGTGTTTCAGATTTAATTAAAATAAAACCTTAATTGTTTACTATCATACTCTCAATATTAAACACAATGTCGTTTAGCAAATTGCATATTGTGTCGTTTGTTGAGATTCGTAATGCCAATATAACAAAGTAAGTTCAATCATATGTGTTATCACTCTAAGGCCTGTGTCAAATTCAATTTCGATCAGTAGGCGACCACTAGTAAATATAATTTAATACATAAGTAAGGCACTCCTTTTGGAGGCCTATGTTCAGCAGTGGACCTGTGAAGTACTTTCATAATGATGACGGTGATGATAAAGTGTTCAAAAGTAAGACGTATATAGGCTGTAATAATAAAACTTAATGTAAAAAATAATTATAATTTATGTTGTAGTATACAGCTTATTCTGACCATATTTTACAGAATATGGTGGCAAACCGGCACACAGTCAATTTGATAGTAAGTGGATGATGTCGCCCGTAGACCCCTGTTGTCACCCCTAAAGATTAAAATGGAATACCTCGTAACCAGCTAAATGGGTAAGATTTTCTTTACACTCACCATACAAAACAGCAGCCTTGAGCTCATCATAGAGGACCTCTGATTTTTCGTCACTCATAGCGTTTAGGTTGCGTATGGGCGTTGACTATAGGCCTTCTAAAAATTACAGCGCATATTATATACGTCCCACAGCTGATCACATGCTCCCCTAATTTCTGTGAGGATAAGTCCGTTGTGTTGATCGAGTGCGAATTTGTGCATTTCATTTTTTTTTTAATATTTCATGTCTCAGTAGGTTTTTCTGAGCCATATCGTCCCATAGGTGTCCTCAGAGGCGACAGGGGAAATTATAATAGAAGATGGGCGGAAGTTTCAACCCAATTACAACTCAAAATAATAAGAAACCAACCCGACTCGCCTGCCAATCTTGGCAACAATGCCAAAATTCCTCATATAAGGCAATATTTGGAGGAGGCCTATGTTCAGCAGTGAACTTTATAGGCTGTAATGGATGAAAATGGATGGAAGTAAAAAAGGTCAAATGATTAAGAGCTTTATTAATATTTCTTCATTCTAATTTTTTTTAAGGCTATATTATATATATTTCTTATCTCATCTTAAATACAATCATTTCAAAACACATCAATTAAAAACACAAAACGTATTTATATACGTTGCTTTTATTACCTTTTCAATTTATACTTTTTCATTGTAAAGAATCTTTTTATATTTTTATAATATTGGTTATATCTAAAACTAATCTCGAAAATAATTTTTTTTTGTTGTTGCCACGTTTTAAAACAAAAAGCGAATTGTAATATGATATAATAAATATAATTGGGCGTTTTATTAAACTTTGCGGAAATTCAGTAGTGGCGCTGGGATAAGTGAGATAGTGCGCACAACTGATGGAGGACAGGAGGTGCTTTTCAAACTGGGTAAGATACACTATTTTAATCCTTTACGCGGACTTCAGCTAGTTAATTTTTAACATCATTCTTTACTTTCCTGTCCCTAGCAGTTATCCCAGACCAATGCTAAACATAGGTCTCCCATATGTTGCCTCATAAACGCTAAAGTAAATAATAATTGCATATTTGCTGAAAAGTTGGCTAATCTCAAGAAGAATCTGGGTCTATTATCGTGTGAACCAAACACAGACAATGATTACGCGTGGAGATAAACCAAAAGGTCTATGGATGTCATTGACCAATATAATTTCTAATGGAAAATTACTGCAAATCGTAGGAGAAAACATCGTGAGAGGTAGCATCATCAACGCAAGAGTAAATAAACTTTTGTCTTTCGTAATCACAACTTTCCACTTGATGAAATTGTAGTCAATATCTGGTAGAACTTTAAAATAAAAAGTAATGACAGGCTTTTGTTTTGCATTGAGACACATTATAATCTAGTAATATTATTCGTATTCAATGTGTTTTCTTTGGCATGTCCATCTACGCTAGTATAGAAAGATATATGGACGTGAAACAAGTGAGAGAGGTATGACAAGGTCGTGCCAATTGAAAGTTTGTGACCTCCGAGTATTTGCTATTTAATTAATTTAATAAGGACGAAATTTTACTATTTTAATTTTTTCTGAATATGTTTCCTTTCATAATTATATAACTATATTTGGAAGGAGCCGTAGACGTAGCCGGTAGCAGCTCAGGGGCTCGCTTTACAACAATTTTAAGTGCTGATTTACCGCATGGTCTTCGGTGAAGGAAACAACGTGAGTTAACGTGCGTATCTGAGGAATGAAAAAAATAAAATACATTTCGAGGGCATCTGAAGTCAGCCGACACGCATTGGGGTAGCGCTGTGGGCATTTCCTTGCCCTGAAACCTTTTCAGAAGTGATAACCCTGCCTTGGGACGTATATAGGCTGTAAATTCACTTATTTCCTTTATATCTAAAACAGCGTAAGGTAAAAATTCTTATTTTGGAGATTCTCCGAAATGAGGTACAACACCCGTCCAAGTAAGCTTCGCATCTTGCCACCTGAAATAGTTAAGGAAAATTTTTGACTATTTTAATAAGTTGATCTTCAGCTAATTTAATTATAATATGTGTTAGTATATAAATATTTTACCCCATATGCAGTAAGAATATCCAGTACCCATATCATGCCGTGGGTGTGGTAAGAGGCAATAGAGGGAAACAAGCCAGGAGAAGAGCAGCGGCGTCTTCCTTATAACGACTACTTAATTAAAACTGCAACTATGGCAAATATCCCCTATATATATATATATATATATATATATATATATATATATATATATATATATATATATATATATATATATATATATATATATATATATATATATGAGGCAATCTATGGGGAGGCCTATAAATATTCAGCATGTGGTACTTTGGGCTGTACCTGTACACAAACACACACTGGGGTCTTAAATCTCCATAACCCTACGTATATAGCTTTATAAGTAAATTAATTATAAACCTTCTTGAAATTAGAGGTGGCCTGTGCTCAGCAGTGGAGCGTATATAGACTCTGCTTATTTTTTTTAATTTTGGGACCTATAATCCCCAGAATCGTCAAACAAGGCAAACACATTTGTACACAACTTTGAACGTAATGCTCCAACTGCTTGTAACATAGGCGTTGCATGAATGGTAAACATGTGTGACATGGACTCTACGTAATAATTGTACACAACATTACAAAGTATATTAAAATTCTCCAATATTCCTCTTCGTATTGAAATCGTGTCCATGGGGACAAGTCTATTAAATGACCCTTAGACACGAGCCAAAGATCTGCATAAACATAATATTTTTATTTCCAACTTTTGGTTATAGGCTCACACCACATAATATAATTATTAATATAGTTCCGAACAATAATAGTGACAAAACTATTATAGAGTTTTTAGTAACTTAGTCACTAAGGTAATTTTGCCGCTACTAAATTTACATTTACAAAGTTATGAGACACAAGAACGGTTGAACTAAATCAAACTACAAACGAAGAATATATAAATCGTAGCTAAACCTAAAAAGCATACAAAAAAGTCTTATTAGTATGTTAAATACCGAATGTTTATGACAAAAATGTTGATAGTCAAAAAATATACATCATTTAGGACGTGTTTATTATTGCTCAAACTTTGAGTACATCAAAAACCCTTCAGAATCATCCAAATAATCGAACATCACTTTCTAATAAAATACACTAAATTTAAAAAAAAAATTGTTATAACGTGGAAGACCAACTAACTGTTAATGTTTAGTTCAGGAAATGGCTAATAGTACAACTTTAATGTGTCGATCGTATCGATGTCTTTCAGTTACATAACCGGAATTGGTTTTGTGGGCGGTTTTACACAGGGCTTACTACGTAATAAAGTCACTCTACAGCTATTTTATGGTCGGTAAGCACAAAGTCGCCTTGAAAAGACCACGTATCACAGAATACCAGAGTTAAATAGCAGCTTAATGTTGCTTTGTTTCGTAAAGCAAGTACAGAGAATGAAAAACCCTTTTTCTTGAAACAAGGCATTCCACCGTAGTCCGCATAGATTACAACTCGCTTCTCACGAAATTTAGTCTACGGAATTATTTTTCAAAGAGTAGCCAAAATTTTAAAGCTACGGGTAAATAAAGCTTATGCTTTTATTTGAAATTATCCTAAATTGAATGTGAGCCAACAACGTTTTTGCCTATCGATCACCAGTGCGCAGTAAAATCAGATAAAATAATCCATTATCACGCATTTTGAATTTAAAAGATAAAAAGCACAGAAGTTTTGAGATTTTTTAAATATTTTTCTTCAACATTATTAATTCATATATCACTTATTCTAAACCTTCTCAGCAAATTTGGCCGGTTATTGCAAAATAACCATGTAGAACGTTTTACGTGGTAGTGCCATGATGCAGCTATATCAATTGTATAGTTGTAGCACGAATGGGTCGGCCCGACCTGGGAAGGACCACGCTCTCGTTGAATACCAGCGCAAAATAGCAGCTTAATGCTGCTGTGTTTCGTATGGTGAGTGTAGAGAACGGGAGACCCTTTTTACTGGAAAAGAGGCATTCCATATTAGTCCTCAGTGCTGACAACGCATCTTCATTTTGATTCGCAAACGAGGATAGATGTAGATGTCTATGGTTCACAGCAACCACTTACCATCAGGTGGACTGTGTGCTCTTTTGTCACCCTTTTCCTATGAAAAAAAAAGTAGAAAAAATATAAGATACATATAGGTACTACATTTTGTTGGCGACTTTACAAGGCTTTTGGGAAGGTAGAAAATAGATTTTAACGTGATGGTTGCGTTCACACCTACAAAGTGCAAAGCTCAATCAGAGTATTTGGGGTCATTACATCGCTCTCTTTGTTATTTCGAGTCTTTAGAAATAACTGAGTTCTATGCAATTTTTGGATCAGCGTATTGAATTCGGCGATTTAATAATAAAACCGACCCTAAGCAACAATCAGATATTATGTTAGGCTTTCATTGAATTTATCCGAACAGGAAAAATTTTGGCGTCGTTATATATGATTTAGTCGAATCGGCACGTGTATCCGATATCCAATACTATTAATGCCTTACATCTGACTACCTACTGTGAAAGGAGGAGTTCTACAAGCAAGTAGATGGTGTGGCGATGAGCTCACCTATATGATGAGAAAGCCCTCAAAGAAAGTATATCCAAAATTCTACAAGCGGTACGGGTAAACTTACTGCATTTTTAGACCATCTGCTACCTCTATAAATTCAAAAATTCAGTTCAAAATGGATTTAGAGGTAAACAATTCTTTAGCTTTCGAGATGTGATACAGATAGATATTTAAACGGTGATCCTTACCACCATGCTTCATAGCTAGCTACCGTAGGTAAATCTTTGTTCGCATAAATATAAGAAATCGTTAGTTGCGTATTGTGTCCTGTATGATCCAGCATTTATTGGCATACAAATTTTAAATAAAAAAATCCGAATAATTGCATTTTCAAATTATTTATAATATACTATGTAACTACGGTTCATATCGCAAGATCGCAATTGTATAATTTAAGTAGATCTCAAAAAAAAAATCAGTTTTGTAAATAAACAAAATTTTTTCAGAAATATATTCTTGTATTGAGTAGTAAATTTCTTCAGCTCATAGCCCTTCAAGTGTTTTTAATCAACTTCAATAATTGTAGCAGGTTCTCAATACGGATGTTTAAATATTTTTATGTGTGTTATCTTATTACCGTCAAACATAGGTGGACTTGCAAAATTCTTTTTTTTCTTCGACAGAGCTTTATTCAGAAATGATGATGATGGCTCTCGAAGACAGACATCAAAACTCTTTAATAAATGCCAGCGAATCAATCGATTTACTAAATGAAGCGATTGCAGCTATCGCGTATATATGCATTAATTACGCAATCACACAACATAACATTACGCCCGTACCCTCTAAAAAGTTACGCAAATGTGTTCAGTATACCACGGTAAATTTCTGTCAAAGTTGTATTTGAAATCGGTTTTTACTTTTTGAAAGTTGAATCTTGTTAACTCTTTATTTTACTTTCTTTAATGTTGTTCGGTAAACGGTTGATCTTACAATACCCACGGAACGAAATGGGTTGATAGACTGTTTTACACCGCCGTTATTTATTTTATTCCATTAGTCGCTCGTGCGTCTGTTAGTGATCGTGTAACTTCTGAACGATTTGACCGATATTTTTTTGTTTGTTTGTCAAGACGATGGTTTATAGCTCAGTGTCTAAAAAATGGAACTATATGATATTTACAATAAATACAATATATAACAAAAATACTGTGGTTCCCGTTAAGTCTGTTATCAGAATTACTATTTAGACGTATACAAGCCGCTATTTACTGGAGACGAGGCATTCCATCTTAGTCCAATAGGTGACAACGCATCTAAATTTTGATTTGTAATCGAGGATAGATGTAGATGTCTATGGGCCACAACAACCACGTGAACTGTATGCTCGTTTGTCACCCTATTCTATAGAAAAAAATACAAATAACTTTCCCTTAGAAAACTTGACCATAAAAAATTTAATTAAATGTAAATGAAAGTTTATTTGCAATTTGTATGTGGTTTATCTTACTTACAACTTAATTTTAATTACCTCTACATTTGAAGAGTATTGTCCAAGGCCTCTATTTACAAATGCGCGTGTCAGTTAGAGGTAATAAAAAACAATATGAAAATAAAAAGTATTTACATTTAATTTAATTTTTTAAAGTCAGTTATATATGTTTTTAAAGTTGTTGAATATTGATTCTGGTAACACACTTAACCGCTATCAAAGGGTTTTATTAAATGTTACATATTTACTCGCTTGGTTAATGTTCAATGTCAAAAATAAAAAAATCTGAATGCGATAGGTATAAACGTATGACCGAGTCATTTTTTAAACTCAAAGTAGGTTAAGTAAAACTAAAACCGCAAAGGAAAGGATGGAAGGAAAGAGAAGTCTGCTAGAGTCTAATATTTTTCTTTTTCCTTTTTTTCTTATTACTGAGACCACGATAATAGCCGAATCGCGGATTTAAGCCCAGCATCTTTTTAATACGCATTTTACACTATGCTATTAGGTTACTGACGCTTGAATTTTATGACATGGTAGTTTGAGTTTGAAATTTGTTACAGATATGAGTGAATTTTGATTCTTATGTAGTCACTACACGGCAGTATTTTATTTCAATAATAGCATACTTGGTGTGTATTAGTTTCTCCAGTGGAGTAGCACTATTACTATCATTTCTACTAAAGCAGGCTGTATCTTCATGTGTCCTGGTATCGACGTTGAGAAGCACGTGGCACCCTCCGCAAGTATAATAGTGGACATCGAACCTGTATTTAGTTAACTAGATTAGATTCTAGATAAAATTAAGAAGTTTCATACACATCATGTCCTTAAACAAAAATGTTTACCTGGTTGCGTAGTGGTTGCTGAATGCTGAAAATAGCCCCCTCCCCCTCCATACATCGCCTCATATGGAGATATTTCCTTCGTTATAGTTGCTACGCTACGCTTGTCAGGCGTATTCTAAACCACAGTGTTATGTTATTTTTAGTTGTTGTCGGGAAGATGCTGCTACGCATTTTTCACGCGGTCGCCTTTTACGGTACATAAGGGATGGTATGAAGTAGTATATTCTCTCTAGATACTAATACACGGCTGCTTTATTTTGTTCATAAGCTCTTAATAGTCTACTCTTGTTGTAGGGAGGCTATACCTTAACCTTCGTGCTTTTTCAGGTGGTTTGACGATCCCAGTACAAGCTCCTTCGTGCTTTTGTCCGTCTATGTTTTCAACGCCTGGCATAAAGAGATAATTATGACACCATCTATCAGAAGATATAAGGCATTACCGACACATTCCAAGTCGCCTTTCGTGACACCTATGGTTTGGGGCGAAGGATAAGTCCCTTAGTCCGCTACACTATATAGATTATATAGTATGATTCCTGATTGAGCAAGAATCAGTGATGGTCTATCCCTATTCGCTAGGATAGTCATTATTTCGTAACTATGAATGACGTAAGAAAATAATAGACTGCTTACGATTAGATTGAGGATTAGATTAGATGCTTAAAACCGAAGATAATAAAGAGGACTATGTCCAGCTGTATAACGATATAACGATAAACTAACGATAAACTGGTAAAACGATAAAGAAAGAATCCTCAGAATCATCAGTAGGCACTTAAATTTTAACATTAGTGGACACACAATATTTATAACTATGATGAACCAAAAATTGTAACTAAGGCCGGAAATTGTCCTTGAAGATACAATGCCAGAAAACAGATATGACCCACCTTCTCTCAGCGTGATAATTGCGCAGTAATTCACGATTTGTATTAAATAACACTCCATAATGTCCAGAACAGCAAGTCACCTGGGAATAATAATTTCAATTCATAAGTTTCCATTCGAAAGTTTTGGGGTTATCAGAAAACATAATATTAAAAATTTCTGGCCATAATAATTTTTGGACAGGTCTTTTACAATCCAAGCAGTCCGTCTATGGAATGCCCTACGTCTTTCATTGAGACGCGCCTAGTCCTCATCAGTTTTTCTGAAGCTTGTACACAATCACTATCTTAACCTCTCAATCACTAAGCGGCCAAATTTGATCGCTTCGATATTCCGTCAAAATTCAAGCGGTCAAAAATATGACCGCACCCACACACAGCTTTTTAACCCATAAAAACGTATATTTAGAGACTACTTTTCTATGAAGAAGTTTGGCATTATAGAATCAATATGAAATTTTCTATCCTCTAGCGGGAAAAAAAACAGTTAGTGTATGGATATTAATTTATATTCTACGTTCAATACGTACGCCATTTTCATTTCGATGTTGTTGTGTTGATTTTTGGATTTTTCTAGTGTTTCATTAGTGTTTTACTATAGTATTTTCATAAAAAATTGTAATGAAAGTTTTTGTGTGAATATATTTTATTTTCTTACCTAAATAATTTCGAGTAATATATAGAAATAATTATGATTTTCAAACTGCCGACATCCGTTTGGTATATATATATATATATATATATATATATATATATATATATATATATATATATATATATGTTAACAAAATACAATAAAATATTTTTGTAATGAAGTAAAACCTAACTTTTGTTTAGACCACAGGATACGTAATTATGTATAGATTTTATAATACTAAACTTCTTCATAGAAATGTAGTCTCTAAAAGTAAGTTTTAATGGTTTTAGGTGATGTGGTGGGTGCGGTCGCATGCGACCGCTCGGGATTTCCCAGGTGCATGCGACTGGAAATTTATAGGGATTGCAGGATTAATTTTTGAGTTCGTGCCATCTACATGTATATATTCGTATTTTCATATATTTATTTATTTCTATATATTACATTGATATATTTATAAATATTGTTTCTGATTCATCAAACAACACAATTTTCTGCTTTTTGTGATCTTATTTATCCAAAGGTTGTCTGGAAGAATTCGCTTTAAGCGATAAGACCCATTGTGATTCAATTTTTCTTTTCTTCTTTCATTTATGTATTTTTTTTTTGGTGTACAACAAAGAATTATCTATCTACATATCTATATGAATATTAACCACATGCATACATATAAAATAGCCACAAACATGTGTATTTACAAAATATCTTTCTAGGCAGTTAAATATAATACATAATCGATTGGACTAGTGGCCATTGACCCTCATACGGAACATGGTATTTACTTTTAATATACAATATGTAACAAAAAACCTGTGGTTCCCTTTAAGGGTGTTATCAGAATTAGTATAGAAACGTATAGAAATAACTTTTTTTCAAAAAATTCGGCCCTAAATTTTAATGACGAGTTTTCTAAAAAAAAATTATTTCTATACGTTTGAATACTGATTCTAATAACGCTCTTAACTGGAACCACAAAGTTTCGTATTAGATGTTGTAAAATCACATTAGGGGTCACAACAACATAATATCGTTCGTACCAGCGTCACTTGATTTTGCGTACGCAGTATACAATAGCTGTCTGCATTGGGGATAAACCTTAATCGGAGAGCACTATCAACTTGCAGTCTGACCTGGGAAGGAGGGTGATATGGCGACGCTGTTGTCATACTATGATAGCACAAAGGAACTGAATCACAACGGGTATCTTAATAAAGCTATCAAAGTTTCCATACAACTCCGCATATAATGAACCAACTCCGTAACAAGCGTAGGTCACTCCCTGCTGCCCGACAAGAGATCTTCTCTCGTCCTTGGCCAGCCGGCTTTAATTAAAAAGGATTGCTTATTTAAATTAAACTTAATTAAAAGTTCACTTTACCCAAATTGGTAACGCTGGAGTCTTTAATCTAGATCCCTGGATATTGTTTAATGACATTGTTTGAACTATTGTCGTCTCCGCCATACCACACCAGTAGGCCAACTGAACTGCGGGATAGCACGCCGAACTGAGGCATTGCCTGAAATCGATTTATTTCTTGAATATTGTGTGAAAGGTAAACTTATGTCGATACGGGCTGGCTATATAACTCTACGAATCGGCATTGGATGGGGAAGAAAGGATCTAGAGTGGCAACTTCGTACACCGGTAAGCGATATGTAGAGCGATCGCTCATTAGAAAAAGTGTCAATGCAGGACTTCTGTGAATTTAGAATGACCAAGTACTATATTACATGGGCTTTCTCGAGGGAGGCCTATGTATTACAGTGAAATTATAAGAGACTATAATGGCGATCATAATGAAAATATTATTTAAATGTATATTAATATGATAGAAGCTACTGTGTCACTGGATGCAGTTGAATAATATCAACTAATAAAATAAGCCTTTTTATGTGGATAGTTGGACTACATAAGCAATAAAGCCAAACTGTAACATTGAGGCCATAATAAATCAATGAATAAGTGAAATATTAAATGATAAAATTAGATTAGCGCAATGACTCTTCCCCACTCCAAAATATTTAATTCACTTTGCAAAATTGTAAACATTTGAAGTTATCTCCGTAAAAGTGAGTTTGGGATTGCTTTGAGTCCTTTCTTCTTTTGCGATGTATTAGTTTCTTCAGACTGGCGGAGATTCCTTAGAAATTAAGCCATTACTTATTATTACTGTAGTAAGATTCAAATTTTCAACTCAACTTCATACGACACCAATTGTAAATAAATTCTATATAAATTTGGCTAAGTGAATATGTTTTATATCCAGCTAATAATATAATATTATAATATGTAATAATAATATAATAAACGTGATTCAAGAACTGTTAATCCACGACTATACATGCGCAGATACATGAACGTGTCGGAGGCGAGAGAGATGTGTCAAGATCGTGCCAAACAGAAATCCGTATTTTCCCTGAATTATTGCTCACACCTGTATTCACTATATATAGTTTTACTGTAAATGTTTTACGAATAAATAATAACTTACATAATGATCCTCATCGCCAATGTATATTACGCCATTGTGAAGATACGGTGTAGCCCTTCCCGTCAGGACAAGCATGGTTACATTAATCGATCCCTCCACTTGCGTTGAAACCAAGTAATTCAGCTTACCATCTAGATCCTTCAGGATACTGATAAACGAGATGTGTATTTTATTGTGTGTTAATTTATTATCCTTATTTTTAATTTTCGCTAGTTTGGCGGTATAAAATTATCCACTAGGTATCTCATATTGTATCCTTGGTGTCATAGGAGGCGCTACAGGGACGCAAATCTCGACGTAGGCAGCAGCATTTTCCTAATAAAAACTAAAAAAAGCATGACAACTATGCTAAATATTAACCTACGGGTTAATCCACAAGGAAGACTTATATTTTATATTCTCATCGAATTTTCGATAGGCTGTAACTGTAACGGAAATTAATCTATGTTCACACAAAACATCGGCTCAAAATATCATCGAAGTGCTGCAATGATTTGCATAATGTGTTATGATGGTCAAAAAATTATCTTAATTGTAACGATAAACAAAGCATGTGCATTTTTATTCTTGACCCATGATAAACAACAGGAGAAAATGTCTGAGTCAAAAAGTCTATTTACAAATCAGGTGTAGCCCTTAGTTTTAAAACTTTCAAGTATTAAATTCCTTTTGCTATTTGATAGGAATAACCTAACATAAACGAAACAATGCCGAAACTTACCTTCTGATACATCAAAAGTACTTTAAACTCTGTATGTTATATAATGCCCGCTAATATCTCAAGTCTTCTAATCTTCACACAACTTAGCCCAATTACAGCTGATCTTTAGTCTTCTAATGTTAAATTTGCTATAAATAAAGTCTCCAAGGCATATTCATTATTTAAAATAAAAGTTAATAACCACCAGCTACATCATTAAATATTTAAAAAAAATATTTAAGCAAACTGGTTAGGTAAGCCGTATTCGACTTATGTAATTGGTTCCTATCCCTCAAGTCTTCTTACGAACAACAAAAATGTCAGAAAATACGTAAGGTTGTATTTGATTGTGGTCATGTATCTCTCTAATTTATTTGTAATAGGTAATGATGGAGAGAGATTAGTAATGGACATTAACCGGACTTACCCTCAGACGTTTTGCCATTTCTATAAAAATACTAAAAGATTTTTAAAACTAAATATATTTAAAATTAATTTTTAAAACTCACTTATCCCAACCCCTTGACAACACGGCAGCGTACAACAACAGTAAGGCGCCAGCTCCTTCTTCTAATTGGAACTGTAGAATTTTAATGGAAAGATTTTGGCTCCTTTTTCATTTCTTGAAGTTTATCGAACTAAATACTATTACTTACTACTACTACTACTACTACTACTACTACTACTGTTATAAAAGTACGTAATGCGTTATCGAATTTTGTCGTTGAATTTTATGTATCATTTTGAATAATCTTAAAAAACAGACTAAAGCCTAGTAGTTTCAATTCTATAGGCTTATTAAAAATAATGCTGAAATCAGCATTCAGTTAACCTTAATCCTCAAGGGTGACGATGCATCTGCATTTTTTGCTTAATCGATAATGTCTATGGGTTATCGTATACTCTTTCAATATCTACTCACCATCAGTTGGACTTTGTGCTCGTTTATCACTCTTATTCTTTAAAAAAAATGGCTTAGTTAAAAACAGATGATCACACGATAGTGCTGAACTTGATTACTATACATCATTTAAATTATAATATAATCATTGGTCTATTTTTATTTATTTTCGTTGTCAGAATAGTTCGTCTTTCAGAGTCCAATTTTGAACATATGACACTCCTATTTTAGTAAGGAGTTGGTATGGTGGGTTCAGTTAGTTACAATTTACACGAAGATACACGATATTAATAACGTGTGGTACGGACCGTATTATGTATAACAGGTTTATATTATGTGATGGTAAACTAACACTTTTCGTAGGTTATAAGGCGTTTCTATCCTTCACACAATTTACAACCTTATGTAATAAAAACAACAGGACTAAGAAAATACAATGTCATCCTCCATACTCGCCATATTTTTAAATTCTAACTTGTGTTTTACTAAATATATACCATATAATACTGTCAAAATCGTTTTGTTCTATTACCTGATTTGCCCTTAATACTATTTTAAAATATTTCATTTTAGATTGAACATATATTTTACGTACTTACCACGTACATATATCGCTTAATAAAAATCTGCAAATCTTCTAGACTGTTGAATTCAAACAAATGCAGCTTGAAACATATAATAAAATTTTAAGTAAGTAAAAAGATTTAGAATTATTCAATAAAAAGTTTAGAATATGAAGCAAGTTTTGTTTTTGTTTATCACTTTTTATTACTTATTTAGTCACTATCAGCTCATTTTACGCTAAATACTGCTTATTATAAAACTGAAGAGTCAGTTATCAAGATCGTTAGCTTAGTGGTAGTAGATGTGACTACTGATCGTATTTTCCAGGATTTGAATCTCAGGTCCATCAAAAGCCAATTTTTGGGATTTTCTGGTCAAAGGAATTCGTAGTAACAGCCCAAAGTCAGGAAGCTGACTGTAATAGCCTATCTCTCTCTGGTCATGTCGGATTAAGAGGGTGAGGGATTAAAGAATACACAACCTTGTACTGAGCCTGGCCACTGTAACCAGAATTCGGTTTAAAAGACATTAATGAAATAACGGGAGTAATTAGTAATGTTACTAGCAGTATTATTTTATCAATGAACTTGCAGTATATCTGATGGTAGGAGGCTACTTCAAGACATAGTTGGAAGCAACTTAAAACGAAGATGGTTACAGGTACGTTGTTATCTTCGGATGGTTAAGAGGGAATGTTTCAGCCTATTCTAGCTCTTCGTACCCTTCAGACTAAAATACAGCAGTGCGCACTGTTGCTTGGCGATAGAAATAGGTAGTAAATAGGTGGTTCATAACCAGACAAACCACTGGGCATAGAAAGATTTCCACAACCTAGTAAAATAAAATAAGTAACCTTGTAGTTTATACGTGGTAGCGCCACGTTGCTGATATATTATGGTTGTAGCACAAATAGGTCGGCTCGACCGGGGAAGAATCACGCTCTCACAGAATACCAGCGTGAAATAGCAGCTTAATACTGTTGTGTTTTATATGTTGAGTGTAGACATCCGGACAGCCTTTTTGACTAGAAAAGAGGCACTCCGTCTTAGTCGTAAGGGGTGGGCCACATCATCCACTCACCATCAGGTGGACTGTGAGCTCGTTTGTTATCCTTATTTTAGAAAAAAACATTGAAAGAAAATTAAAACATATTGATATTAATATTTTATATTAAAATTGAAATTGTGAAGTGAAAAATAAAACTGTCCATCTTTACCTTCTCAGTTACTCCATCTTGATAATATTGGGCGCTGTGCTGCACGTAAGTAGTATCAGTGGGTAGAGCTACTACAACCTTGGTGTCCGATGTATTTTGAGCGTTAAATCCTCCACCGCAGCGCCAAATCACTTCACTACAAGCTCGCCAAAGTGCTTCTTCCTGTTGTTCTTCAGAGGGACGGAGATAGCTGTGAATGTTACATACGTTTGAAAATAAAGCTGCAGTTACTTCTGAGAACTACCGTTTTCAATAGATAAGTTTGTAAACATAATATAAAACACAGGTAGCTCAGATGTTAATCGCCCGCCGTATATCACAACACGCGATCAAAACAGGTTCGATCTCAGTCCCACTTACAAATATGTTTATTACAATTTTTAGTGCTGATTTATCACATCTTTGGCGGTTAAGCATATAATCGTGAGGACAATTGCGTATTTTGGAATTCATAAATAATATTTCGAAGTTGAAGAGAGATCCATTCCCAGCGGTGGAAAGTATAACGCCTTTAATATAACGATGTGTAGGTGAAATTTAACATAAAACTTCGTTGATTGCTTCGTGCCCTAACAGATAGAGATACATAAAGAACAGGGGCTCATTTATTTTGAATAGGCAATGATTTTGAAAGCGCTTTGGAAGAGCGTAGGTCATTTTCAAACCGTAGTATGAGGCGCGGGAATTACATAGATACGAGTGTCACTGGAGACATGCTACCTCGTGAAAAATTTATATTTTCAAACCACTGTGGAGATAGTTTGTTTTCATTTTTAAAATGGCGTAAAATACAATTTCAGTTTATTTAAAGGTAGACTGCATGACACACTTTCTTAAAATAAATGTATTAAAAAGTTACGATAGAAACCATGTGTAATATTGTAAGAATATCCATTACCCCGGATTACCTCCTGTGTGTCGTAAAATATAACTGAGAGAAACTGAACCTTGATTCAGTTTAATCTCTTGAGACAAGCAGCAGCATCTTCGTAATAATAACGCAAAATAATGAATTGTTTCAGTTGCAATCCCGCTTGCCAAGCGTGGCAATATAGCAAATAGCCCCCTGTGAGACAATCTATGGGAGAGGCCTTTCTCAGTGGTGGAATTTTATAGGCCGTGATGGAATTGATGGAAAATGGAATAGAGAGAAAATCTGAAGGGATATACTTTTAAAACTATGAAAGATTTATAACAAACTTTTATTGAAATTGCTCTATATAATAGATTTTATACGACTTATAATGCAACTCGTGTAGTAGCGGCGTAAGCGAATCAACGTAAATATTTTAAAAGGCGACAAAAGGCAAAACAGGAGATGGGCAGAAACTTCATAATAACAACCAAAAATATTTTAAAAAAAAACTTTAGTTCCACCTGCCAAGTGTGACTGCCAAGACATTTTTATCTATCCCCCCTGTGATATATTGTAGGCTGTCATTAATTAATGTATATAGAAGAATAAATTGTTTATTGCAGCTTTAAATGCTTATTTATCACGTGCCCCGCAATGAAAGAAAATATCGTGAGGAAATCAGTATGTCGGAAGAATGAAATATTTTGTGGATATATGAGTCTTCCAACACGCACTGGAGCATAATTACTCTATAACCGTCTCAGTAAATAATAATTGGAGACCTTTGCCAAGTTGGATTTTAAAATATTGTAACTTTTACGTTTGAAGTAATATTAACTTGGAATAATAGAAACGTTGTCCTAAAACTAATCTACAAATCACTTCAGTGATTTTTCCAATATTTATATAGAGGTCACCAAGCTTCTTCTCAATCAAATTATACTGTTATTCTGTAGAATAAGGTGATAAGCGAGGCTACAGTCCAGTTGATTACGAATCCAAATGCAAATGCATTGTTGCCCCTGAGGACTAAGATAGAATGCCTCGTTTTTAGAGCAGTGTTTTTTTCTCTACACTACCCATATAAATTACAGCGGATACAAGCTATTTTACGCTAGTATTCTGTAAGAGTGCGGTCCTTCCTCGTCAAGCCAATCCATTCGTGCTACAACCATAATAAGGTCACAGCGTAGCTCTTCAACATGTATCCTACAGGCACAAGATTTTGTGTGTAGAATTTTTAACGCAACCCTATTTGAAGTGATATAAAGCAACATTAGCCCTAATGCTTAAGGGTCTGGATTGTGAACTCGAAAACACGTGGGTTCGAATTCACCATCCAGGACTTCTTTCTTGAACATTCCTAACACTATTAATTCAATTTATTATTAATGCTTATTTTGAATAGTTAACTGGAGTATTAGGTGGCAACTGAACCTCCACCAGACACTTATAGCACCCCCTGCACGGCCGTTACCGTGGTCGCCACCAAAGCCCGAAATAGCCGGGCCGCAGGGGACTGTGGACCATTAGTTTTTGTCGTCGCTCATGGGGATGTTTGTCATAGCTGCAACGCTCAGCGAGCGGGTTGGCCACCACATTTTTACTGTACTATTGCTGTTATCAGATAAATTATGGTTTCCATATAATGACTCAGTTTTTCTTTGTCGCCCTTACGACACCCACGAGAAAATATGGGGTAGTGGATATTCTTCCAACACCACTACACGGCAAAGTAATAATAGAAAAATATCAGTATAGTAGCAATACTAGTATTCTTGTTTATGATTAGACTAAAACGAAAAACGGCAAATAATATCACCCTTCAGGAGGTTCCGTTGGCTTATTATCCTTAGTCAAAGGTCGCGAATCAAAAAGCAGCCATTTAATAATGTGCGCCTGTAATCCAGAAAGTAAGGATCTAGCGCCATTACGTGGTGCGACGAGGCCATAAGACAGAGGCTGGTTTGGGGGCCTCATAACTAGCGGTGACCGGACCCATTCACCACGAGGTGGACAGGCAGATGTCCCGAATGTTGTTAACCGTAGTTCCTAAAACACAAACAGTTAAATTAATCATTTTGACTGCGCGACTTCTGATGATGTGTTATCGAGTTCAAATTAAAATTCGATATAGATTTGAAACATATTTTTGACCCACAGACATTTATCCTCAATTGAGAATCAAAAGCAGATGAGTTGCCGTTGAGAATTAAGATTGAATGCCTCGTTTCCAGTAATAAGGGTTTCAGGGTCTCTACTCTAACCATAAGAAACAAAGCAGAATTAAGCTGCTATTTTGAGCTGGTGTTCTGTGGGAGCGTGGTACTATCCCGATCAAGCCGACCCATTCTCTCCTCTGTCAATATACTGGAAACTCATTATCACTTTCTAAAGCTCAGTGAAGTATTGTAATACCTGCACTAAACAATGCTGAAAAATTTCTAGACATCTGAATATTTTACAATATTGACGTATTCATATACCAAAATAAAAATCCTAGTTTTTATTATAATATTCAGCACTTACGACAGCTAGTTCTTCTGTTATGGGCTTTCCGCCTGTCACAGCCGGCTTAGAAGTGGTGAGAAATTTATTTCTGGCGTAGAGTACCCGCTCTGCAAATAAGAAAATATTTATTGCTTATGTTCGACTGACATAAATATAAATCTTAACTTTCTTGCGATTGCACAAGTTCTTTTGCTTCAAAAAATAATAAAAATGAGAAGTGTTTTGAAATATAACTATCAATATTTACTAGTATTCTTTTTTTGCAAGTGGTCTTTAATACACTCGTGTGTTCTAGTTTGAAGGGTAAGAAAACGAGTATCAATACATATTATAGTAATTATTATTTAGCTTTTTTTTACCATCGCCCATGAAAAACTGCAACACGTTATGCTGTGAGTGTTTTTCTTAAGAAATTATAATAGTTTTTAATTAGTTAAAAGTTGTTTTTAGCGATATTACGGTTACTACCGTAATCTACTGATTGTTCACGGGCATTAACCGATTGTATAGTTAAATTTCTTCTATGATTATTGATTATAAACAGTTGCAAAATGGTCATAATGCTCGAAACTTCCAAATCAGAAAACCCTTTATCTAGCTCTTACGGCTTGAATGTTTCGCAAAGTGCTTCGTTGGTGATTTTGGGAACCGGAGAACAACCAGACAAAGGGCTGGCTAACCCGATGATCCCAACCGGGAAGTAAATGAAAATGGTTTTAGAACTGGGTAGATAAGGCAAGGATACTCACAAGACTGGAGCACTCCTCGTGGTTATGGTGAAGTGTAAAATATTTATGTTGAAGTTCTAGTGTATACATAGACACCACACTGCACTTCGAATGTATATGGACACGAGAAATGGCACGATAGTCTTACAACTTTATTTATTAAGTAAATTTAAACGAGCGGTAACGAACACGGTTTATGCGTGCCATCTTGTTTTTTCTAATTGTTTACAATAGGTAGCGCACCATTCTTGAGTAGTGCGTATAAAGTAAAGGCGGGAGGATAGAAAATACTTAGGAAAAGGATATTTTATCGGGACTTTTCCAAAGCCACAACACTAGCAGTAAGCGAAATTATTATAACTATGATGCTAGTTTTAATAAATACTTTTAAAATTAATAAAATAGAGGAATAGGACTGTATAATAATTAAAATTTTTAGTTCTAGTTTTCTTTGTTATAGTTTTTTTTTTATATTATCTGTAACCTTCTAGTTATATTTAGTTATACACTATGTTTTAATATTAGTTGTAAAAATAGGAAATTAAATAATTTTCAATATTACCCGCTTAGGCTTAGCAATTTAACAAGGGCGTTGTTGTAATATACGTACACAATTTATTGTTAATAAATAAAATATAAAATAGGCTGCAACTTATATGTATAAAAGTATAATAGTAACGGTGGTATTTATCACAATAGCGCAGAAGCCAAGTGATCCAAGTGAAATTTTTGCCAAAATTGAGATATGTGCATTTTTCTTTTGCAAAACAATACAAAAATCAAACAATCTTTAAAAAAAAATCTTCAAAATTCTAACTGCATTGTAGCTTGTTACTACGATATTAATATCTACTTGAGCTACTTGTGCATAAAAGATTTGTAAGAAAACTTTGATGCACAATTGCTCCAAGTAACACCAAACTAATATTTTTATTTCTCGTCAGTAATATAGTGCCATAGAGTAAGGCGGAGGGGATAGGTTGAACCACGTTCAAGGTTATTGTAACCTTTATAAACCTCAACAGCCTCACAGATATTTTTGAGAATTGTTTTTTCAAAATGTCCTAAAAGTTTAGATATTTAGTGATGTTACTTTTTATGTAAAGGTGTAGAGGCTAAAGTTGTTTTTGTTTGAGTCCGTTATGTTTTTATGTTCTACTAAAGTTAATATTCGAGTGCAATAATAATAAATAAAACGGCTAAGAGCTATCAAAATGTCAAAAAGCAATAATAAAAATCCAACAATAACGTAACTCGTGTCCACTACACCTTTTCATCCCGTAGGTATGTGTGACAGTGAGTAACTTTTACAGGATGATTTCTTATATTTACGCGAACACTACACATTGAAATAATACTAGTTTTTACGGAATTTGGCCAGTCCTGCCCGTGACCATGAGTGCTGTAAAGCGTTCGAAACGTCGGGTATTAAAAGTTAAATATACGCGATAAATTCCGTAAAAACTAGTATTATTTCAACTTTTACAGGAGATGATCACGGGCATCTTCCTCATATGAACTAAAAAAAAAAAAATATAACGGCGGTTGCCAACCCGCTTGTCAAGCTTGGCAACTATAGTAAAATTTCTACTATTAGACAATCTATGCGGAAGGACTATGTTCCGCAGTGGACTTGTATAGGTGGTAATGGCAACTAATTATTTGATCAAACTAACTTCAAGTAAGTAAACTTCGACCAAAATTATATGAAGTTGACGCCTCCTCTGTGTTTGTATACTACGAGTATGTAGTCATGAATCGACGGACCAAATCACCCACGTTTGCACTGTCATGCATTGATTTTATATTGCTATTTTATTAATCTACCCTACAGGTTTATTAAATACTATGCAATATATGTATTCAATTCATAAATATAATACACATATAAGTTTACTGGAAAATTATGTACTTACAGATACTCGTTTTGTTTCAAATATAGGTTTCACATTTCGCGTTATAGTTAATCTACCCTAAAAGTTATTTAAATGCAAAAATTACATACATATCAATCGTCCAAGATGTTTATGAGTGTTAAGCAAGTGAGTTTCCACATGTTGCCAAAATAAAATTAAAAACGTTCACGTAAAAACCAATTTTAAACTTTTTAATTTGAAGATGCGACTCGCTGATTCCACACGAAAAATTCACAATGACATGAGGTGTATTGTGTTGCCAGTGGGAGCTCATACAAGTTGGGATACCATCATTCATCATCATTACAGCCCTTCACAAGTCCACTGCTGAACATAGGCCTCCCCCAAGTAATGCCACAAAGCACGGTCCTGAGCCACCTGCATCCATCGACTTCCTGCATGTCTTACCAGGTCGTCACTCCATCTAGTGGGGGGTCGCCCTACACTACGCCTACCGGTACGAGGCTGCCACTCGAGAACCTTTCTTCCCCATCGGTTATCGGTTCTTCGAGCTATATGGCCGGCCCATTGCCACTTCAGCTTACTAATCCGTTGGGCTATGTCGGTCACTCTGGTTTTACTGCGGATATCCTCATTTCTGAGTCTATCACGCAGAGAAACTCCGAGCATAGCCCTCTCCATAGCTCGCTGAGCGACCTTAAGCGTCCTCATACGGCCAGCAGTGAAGGACCACGTCTCAGATCCGTAAGTCATCACTGGCAACACGCACTGGTTGTACAATCTAGTTTTTAGAGATTGAGGTATACCTGACGAAAAGATATGCCGTAATTTCCCGAACGCTGCCCAGCCGAGTTGAATCCGTCGATTGACCTCTCGGTCGAAGTTGGACTTACCTAGTCGGACTATTTGTCCCAGGTAAACGTATTCGTCAACAACTTCGAGCATAGTGCTCCCAACAACTACCGGCATAGGTGTGACATGGACATTGAACATGATCTTTGTTTTGTCCATGTTCATCTTAAGACCTATCCGTTGGGAGGCACTATTGAGGTCATTGAGCATAGTGCTTAAGTCCTCCAGCGATTCTGCCATAAGGACTATATCGTCGGCAAATCGAAGTTGAGTGATGTACTCGCCATTGATGTCAATACCGTATCCTTTCCAGTCCAGTAGCTTGAAAACGTCTTCCAATGCAGCGGTGAAGAGTTTCGGGGATATAACGTCACCCTGTCTTACACCTCTCTGCAGTTGGATAGGTTTCGAGCTCTGGTTCTGTACTCGGATAGCCATCGTAGCCCTACTGTACAAACACTTCAACACTTCGATATACCGACAGTCAACTTGGCACCGCTGAAGGGACTGTAGCACCGCCCAAATTTCGACGGAATCAAAGGCTTTCTCATAGTCCACATACGCCAGGCAAAGTGGCAGATTGTACTCTTCAGTCTTCTGTACAATCTGCCGCAGGGTATGTATGTGGTCTATGGTACTGAAGCCTTTTCGGAAACCGGCTTGTTCGGGAGGCTGGAAGTCGTCAAGTCTGCGTGCGAGACGATTCGTAATGACTCTCGAAAACAGCACGTAGACGCGGCTCAGAAGGGAAATCGGTCTGTAGTTCTTTAAGAGAGCGTTGTCGCCTTTCTTAAAGAACAAGACCACCACACTTCTGCTCCACGCCTCTGGAGTAGTGCCACCATGGAGGACGGAATTGAAAAGCTTCTGAAGGACTTCAAGTACCGGTGTTCCACCCGCTTTCAGAAGCTCCGCTGTAATTCCATCCTCGCCTGGGGCCCTGCCGTTTTTAAGGTGCTGGAGAGCCATTCTAATCTCGCTTAGACTGACGTCCGGGATATCATCGGAATAGTGTCGGATAAGACTTGCTCTTGGATCGTTACTCACACTTGCGTGTGGCTCCAACGATGGTGTGTACAGCTGCCCATAGAACCTCTCAATTCTCACTCAAAATCTCAGGTGTCCCGGAAACGATGTTGCCACACTCAGTCTTCAGCCTTGACAGTTGGCTCTTTCTGGCAGACAGATATCTGGCAAAGACTTTGGAGCCCTGGTTCCGCTCGATCGCTTCTTTAATACGAGAAGTATTAAAGTTGCGTAAGTCTCGCCGTATGCATTTGGAGATCTGTCTGTTCAGTTGCCTGTATGCTGTCAAATCTGTTGACGATTGCAGCCTCATCTCCCGTCTAACAGCCATGAGATTAAGAGTGTGATCGGAGAGTTTTTGTGTTCTTCTGCGGCGGGTCTTGCAGAACTTAGCTCCGACCGCATGGACAGTTTCCACGAGCTTGTCATTCATATCGTCCACTGCATTGCAATCTTGTAGGCACTGAAAGCGGTTGTGTAACTCGAGCTGAAAGTTTTCGGGATTTTGGATCAGAGCACGAGGGGGGACGGAGCGTTGACTTCATTAGACGAGACCTCTCCAACTTAACGTTTAGGTTCAGTGTGCCTCTAACCATTCGGTGATCGCTGCCAGTTTTCACCCTTGCGATCACTAAGACATCACTGAACAGTTGGCGTCTGGTCGTCATAATGAAGTCAATCTCATTTTTTGTCGAACCGTCGGGGCTCGACCAGGTCCACTTCCTGTGGGGCCGCTTCTGGAAGAAAGAGTTCATCATAAAGAGTCCCTCTTTCTCCATAAAGTCGGCCAGCTGCTGGCCCCTTCGGTTCCGTTGCCCTACTCCAAATTTCCCTACCTTCAGCTCACCGCTTTCTCTTGTGCCTAGTTTTGCGTTGAAGTCTCCCATCAACACCGTGTAGTGGGTTTTGGAGGAATGTATGGCTCTGGAAATATCCTCATACATTTCCTCCACCTCCTAATCGGGATGTGCCGAGGTTGGTGCGTAAACCTGAATGACCTTCAGCGAATACCGTTTGGTGATTCTGAGTATCAGGTACGCGACCCTCGTCGACACACTCCCAATCTTTACAACGTTGTTGACGAGAGATTTGTGGACGATAAATCCGACACCTCCTTGGGACAGATGGTCGCCCTCCCGGTGATAGAACAAGTTGCCGGACTCGAGGATTGCCGTGTCCTCCCCCTCTCTTCGGACCTCGGATAATCCAATAATATGCCAGCGCAACTTGTCTACCTCTTCTTCCAGCTCCAGTATCTTCTCGTCAGTCCTCAGGGTGCGTGCGTTATATGTTGCCAGGTCGAGTCGTCGTAGGTGGCAACCGAACCTCCACCGGAGATTCTTAGCACCCCCCTGCCCCGCCGTTACCATGGTCGCCACCGTAGCCAGGAATAGCGGGGCCGCCGGGGACTGGGGGCCGTCTGTTTGTGTATTTGTTCATTGGGGGGTATTTGCCATAGTTGCCACGCTTGGCGAGCGGGTTGGCAACCGCAGTTTTTTATTACGTCACAGTTGTCATCAGGAAGACGCTGCTGCCCATCTCCTGCCTGTCTCCCTCTGTCGCCTCTTACGACACCCACGGGAAGATATGGGGTAGTGGATATTCTTAACCGCCACTACACGGCATAATGGTTAATGGTAATATATGGTTGGGATACCAGTAAAACTATTATTTTTCCCCCGGAAGATTGAAATTCGTGTGATTTGGTCCGTCAATTCACGACTAAATAGTATACAAACACAGAGGAGGCGTCAACGAATATAATTCAAAGCATAAGATTCTTCTTGGAAAGATGATAGATTATTTCAATTTAAAATATAGAAAATGAAATAGAAAAAATATATAAATAGCCAAAGTAAGCCTAAATTAAAAAATTCAAGCCATAAAATTCTTCTTGCGAAATTCCAAGTGTATTTGAAATAAATTAAAGTTGAAAATATCTTATATAATATAAATATCGGAAAAGAACTCAGACCTTTGAAGTGTTTTTATTTTTTATACTTTAATTTTTATTATAATTTTGAGAGTTATTAAAAACTGAAAATGGCAAAAATAATATTAAAAAAAAAACACAAACCATAACATTCATCTTGCAAAGTCCCAAGAGTGTTTTTCCTTAACATAATTTTTTTCTCGGTAAAATTTCTATATTGATCGAGGTAAAATAAAAATATTTTTTAAAGCCAGTGCTTTAAACATATTATTCAACGCTTTACAAATTATTACTAGTTACTTTTATTATCTTATCTTATTTCTGGTCCATACGTTAATGAAATTTAATCCGTTTATAGTAATTCAGTTTTGATATCATAAAATTATAAAATTGTAACTAAACGTTTCTTTCTAAAAGGCTTTTTTAACACATTAATAAAAATAAGATGCAGTCGCGCCCAGAGTCAAAGGGTTACTATTACCGTTCGACAATCGAAGGCGCCTTGTTGAAATGAAGAGGTAAATATGTAGATTCTGAATATTTGTATAAATCGAATCAATTCCATACAGTACCAAGAAAGCAATCAGAGTATGACGTTTCCTTGCCAGTTCTAGTGTCAGATTTCTATCGCATAAGTGATGAAAGTTTTATATATTATATATATTTTTTATGGAGTTAGGGTAACATAGGAACAGATAGTCCAAGAGATGGTTAGTGAATGCCATAATTGCTATGCATTAAATAATGTTTCGATTACTGTATTACAAAGTAACATAAATATTTATAAATACAGCATATAGCAACGATAATAATAGCTAGATCCGTTGTAGCTCAGATTCTAAGTGCTAGCAGCAAATTTCACGGTACACGAGCAATCTTTTTTTGATTACTTGGCACCAATGAAACTGTTAATTGCAATTTTAAATGGCAGTTTACTACGTGCCAATCGGTAGAAAGAAACGTCGCCGTCGTAATAATAATATATATCTGCTTGTTTGAGGAATATAACATTTGAGGACTTTGAAGTTCGCCGACATACACTGAATCAGTGCAGTGGCTCCAATGTATTCTTTCCATTAAATCAAAGTCCACTACTGAACATAGGCCTTCCTCATAAACTGCCTCATGGGTGGATATTGCCATAGTTATAGCAAGCGGGTTAGCAACAGCAGTTTATTAATGTGAAAACTTCTTTATAGTCGTTGTGACTTGAAACTCGATGAAATGAAAAAGTGACACTAAAAAAGAGACAAAAATACACCCATAAGATTTTAGCCTGAGAGAGAGTGAGATAATATTATATCCGTCTTCTCTTTGTGCGTTGATCCGTTGCCTCCCCATTCTTGCATACTTTTCTGAAGTTTCACTTCTACCGCGTGTAAATTACACAAATGATTATTTTTTATTATTTTGTTTTGTTATCAGGAATATGCTGCTACCCATCTCTTGTTTCATTTTCCCTCTAACGCCTCTAATAACAGCCTTGGGATAATCTTACACAGCCATGATTATAAAAAGTATGAAAAAATGTGAAGATCTGTGACCAGCTTTCGAATCTATGTATGCTGTATTTTATATTTTTGTCTCTTTATTTAAAAGACAATGTCTTAGAAACATGTTTTTATTAAATTACCACAAGTATATACATATTTTGTAATAAACTTAGCGCACACGGTGGTCATACCGTCAGACAAATTAAAGTATATATGTAACTTGGTATTACATATCTAAACATACAATTAAATTGAAGTCTATGTCTGTACTAACGAAATAACTGTCTACTGTTAATGCGTTTAAGATTTTAATGACTGATTTTTCTTCTGTCCGTGTGTTTTTTATGCCACGATAGCTCAATAATTAAGCACTCGTTGTAAATTTCACAGTACACAAGCTGTCAGGGTTTAATCCCAAATCACTAATACCGTGAAATTGTTAATTACATTTTTAATGTTGATTTGATAACCTGCATGTTTGAGAAATTGAAAAAAGCTATTTCAAAGACACTTCTCTTTTGCCCAAAAACTCCCTAAGAAATGAGAGGAGACCTGTGCCTAGGAATAGAGTAAGTAAAAACATGCATTTTTTTTAAATTGCAATACAAATAGTTTTTGATAGATAAATCATAAATTACAAGAAACATGAAAAAGTTTGAGACAGATATTCTTTGGTTAGAGATTTGACACAAAAGTTAAAATTAGATGAAAAGTCGATTTTTAACATTTTCTCGATAGAACTCCATTTTACAACAAAAATATGAGTTGAGTGGATTACCAAATCTTTTTTATGTAAAACACGTAGATTTTCCGCTTTTATTTTTAGCACTTTCAAATAACGCAAATATCAAAATTAAAATCTTTAATGATTATATGATCTGATAATTTTATGATCTGCAGGTTTTTTAATCAAAGTTCTACGCGGTCGCGAATAAGAGCTAGTTAGGCGTTATATACATACCTTCAACGTACGCTGCAGGCCTCTCCTGACTTTCATGCAGCATTTTTAAAATACGTAAAAATAACTTTGCACTCTTTTAGCAATCTTTTGGAATTGCGAATAAAGCAGAAGGGATGGAACCTGTCAAGTTTCAAACGGGTTTCATTCACACTTGTATCATACTTTTGAAAAAGTTTTGCAATATAAATTATTAACGATATAAAAACGCTACTTTGAATTGTGAGAGTGAAGCTTGATAGCACGTCAAATCGAAGTAAACGATGGAATCAAAATGCTTGTTATTAAAGGTGTTTACTGTGGTAACCGTGAAATCTACTCTATTTCATGTATGCATTTAGCACGAATGCTTTTAGTTTGCGTGGAGCATTAGGTAAAGTATTACAAATATCTTGGATTATTTCTATAAAATTTTATTTATTTATTTTTGAAATATTTAAAAGAGAAGTTATTAGAAGATTGTTATTAAAATTTAAACTTTATCAGCTTAATGATAAGCTAATGAGATGATAAGACAATGGCTTCAAGAAAAATCCTGTCCATAGTTTGTGGAGAAACTCTAAGCATTTTAATTCGAATAAAATTAAATAAACTTAATATGGAATATCAAATACCAAACCAAATATTTTTATTTCCTGCTTAATTTGAATGCTTTCGTTTACAAAACGTAATTAAAACATTAATTTCCTACCGTGATTAAATAGCCACATCGATCCAATGCTTATTGCAATTTACCACCTATCGACCTTATTCGAAATGAACGTTTATTTCTGGCGCTACTAAGGCTTTCTAACCGTCGTATGCGATAGTTATATGCAAACCTTTGTGGATTGTTTAGTGTAGACTTAAAGTTTGAAATAGTAAATATTTGTGGAGGGTTATCGCCTATCCTACGAATGAATACTTCTATACGCTCAAAGAACCGACAAAAGATGAGGAAGAAACGTTCTTGAGTAGCAACCTCGTGTGCGGCAGCCCCACTAGATAGAGTGATAACCTGGTTAGATATGCAGGGAGGCGATGGAAGCACGTGGCTTAAGGCCGTGCTTTGTAGGACACCTTGGCCTATGTACAGCATTGGATCAGTGAATTTCCGTAACGATGAGTATGACACTATGTAAGCGGCGGTGAATGAAAAATCGTGAGGAAAAATATTTTGATTCATTATAAGCCCTAATCAAGGCATATAGGCAACACGGAGGATAAGTAAGTATGTGCCCAACAGCAAGGTGCATTTATAATTAAGGTGGGACTTAACTTAAATTCATATTAGCTATATACGATCTACTGCTGTAGAAAAAATTCCTCTCATTTTGAGAGGGTTATTTTTTACTTAGCATAAGCTCTTGCTTGATTGCAATACCACTTGGTGGTAAGATCTGACGCTAAATTGCACTTTGTTATGATTATGAAGCAATTATTCGGCCGAACTGTTTCAGTTAGTAGATTTCAAAATGTCCTTGAAGTATTTAATTTATTTAAGTGCTTGTTAACCGAATACTCAGACGAGTATGAGCTAAATCAGCACTTAAATTTACAATTGTGCCGACGGGTGTAATCAAAATCAATATGTATTATACATATATGTAGTAAACCCATTTCAGTCACTAACTTACTCAAACCACTCACTCACTCAATTTAACACTCTATTTATTATATTTTCGCTAGAAAGTTTTCTTATTTCTGTTACTAAGGTTATTAGATACTTTCTAATTTTGTATGTAAGTAGGTAATTAAAATCACTAAACTAACAATATGCATGACTTGACGAAATTATTCAATAATCCGGTCCATACGCAGTAATATAAGAAGTCTATGGTTACACGGGTAGACTGTGTCCAGTAATAGCATACACGGTACGGTACAAGTATCCCAAACAAAGGAAAGTTCCTTAGCAACATAGCCTTAGCCGTAATTTTGAACTACATGTGGGTGTAGTAGTGGGTTGTCACTAGTTACCCTCATAAGATAAATAGTCACAGATTGTATGTACTATTTAATGTGCATGTGACGTAATATAAATGATTGTTAAAGTGTAAATAAGTACTTGAATTCGCTAATATACAATAAATTATGCCGTGCCAATATTTCTCGGGAAAACGTCGCAGAGTACCAGGACAAACTTGTCTGAAGTCGAAACTTTGTTGAACGAAATTTCGGACTGGAGGCGACTTAATTTAGTCCAGTTTAATCCCCAGAAGACACAAGTTTGCGCGTTTACCGCTAAAAACACCCCCTTCGTCGTATCTCCTAAGTTTCAAGGCACTACTCTTGTTGCTTCAGCCAGTATTGGTATCCTCGGCATCGACATACCGAGTGACGTGCGGTTTCGTGGTCATTTGGAAGAGAAAGCCAAATTGGCCTCTAAAAAGCTTGGCGTACTCAGTAGAGCGGGAGAGTACTTCATGCACGCTCATCGCCTGTAACTTTTTAAGGCGCAGGTTTGGCCGCACATGGAATACTGTTCCCATCTCTGGGCCGGGGCTCCCCAGTGCCAGCTCCTTTCATTTGATCGCATCCAGCGCAGAGCTGTTCGAATCGTCGGCGACCGAGCTCTTTCCGATCGGCTTGACTCACTGGCACTGCGAAGAGATGTTGCATCTCTTTGCGTATTTTATCGCCTCTACCCAGGGGAGTGATCTGAGGAATTGTTCGGACTGATTCTAGCCGCACATTTTCACCATCGCATATCGCGACATTACTTGCGATACCATCCATGCCATCTGGATGACTAGCGGTCCATCGCCGTGTGATTTAAAAGAAGTTTTCTTCCTCGCACAACTTCCTTGTGGAATCGATTACGACCAGAGATTTTTCCGGACCGATACGACTTAGGGACCTTCAAGAAAAGAGCCTACTCTTTTTTAAAAGGCCGATAATGCATCTGCAATTCCCCTGGTGTTGCAATTGCTCATGGGCGGCTGTAATCACTTACCATCAGGTGAGCCGTATACTCGTTCGCACCCCCTCCTAAAAAAAGTTGTCAATAGAAGACATTTTTATTAGTTGTACTTGTTTAATTACACTATCAATTTATTTTGCAATTAATATTAATATATATAATGTGTGGGCTAAACTACAACGCCTGTCTACGTTATTCTAAAAAGGACCCCAGATTAATTATAATCCTATACTATTAAATGAGCAAACGGCTTAGAAAATGTCTTTTGTCCCTGTTTTTGGGCAATGAAAAACTGCTACAATATCGTTAGAATAAGAAGGTAAATTTTGACAAGTTGTTAATGATTATAAATAGCTTAATTGCTATAATGGGCGGTCAAAGAATCGTACAACCCCAGTTCGAGCCCAGACCGACCGACCGACTTTTTTTAATTTTTTTTCAAGTTCCTTTCTTTTTTGAGAAAATCTATTTTTTCGAGCCCATTTTTTAATATTTTTTAAAAACACGAAAATTTAAATTAAAATAATTGCACTCATGATTTTTATTCAAATAACCAGTTCCGTTTTTTCTGTTATGTCGCTAAGATCAAAAAATATTATTTATATTTCATCAGTATGTAATTTTTATCTAAATATAATTTCCAAAACACACGAATTAAAAAAAAAACCGAGCGAAAAATACCGAGCAAAGCTCGGTCAACCAGGTACTTTTAATAATTAGCGTTTGTCCGAAATAACGCTGGCGTGATATTTACTCCAATTAGTAATTAATCTTGTTGGTGAAACTGATGACTATGTAGTAAATGATAATGTAGGTGTCTCGTGCCATTACAGTTTATAGTCAAGTTGATCACTATAGAAACAGGCTATTTACAACGCAAGGTGACTCTCATTAATTCAACGTCTGATTTTATTTCTTCAATAAATTTAGATTCGTTATAAGCGTTATAGATTAATACTTAATTTATTAGTATTTTTAAAAAAGATATTAATTTAAGTTATTTTGGCGTTATTGCTGACCAGATAAAATATTCCAAATCGGCGACAGAAGAAAGTGTTACTGTTGTGAAACTTCTAATAATTAAGGCTTTGGCTATTGTGCTTATTAAGTGTACCAAGACTAAAGTGAATCCTCTCTACAACGGGAGACGTACATTATTTTAATTGAACAGGGGGCAAACGAGCATGCTACTCATTTGATGATAAGTATAGACCACGTTTGTCGAGCAAGTAGATAAGTTTGTATATTTGGATTGCGTATTTAGCAGGGATGGGAAATATGATAAGAATATAGAACGACGAGTGAACGCTGTAAATAGAGTAAATGTGGCCCTCCACTCTATTGTGAAGAAGCAGAATGTGTCAAAAAGGCACGTATGGCAATCCACAATGCTGTATTGGTCCCTACTTTAACGTATGGTAGTGAAAGTTGGGTGTGGCAGAAGAAGCAAGAGATTAGAATAAACGCAGTAGAAATGCGGTCGTTAAGGAGTATGTTAGGGCTGAATCTGAATGACAGGGTGAGAAATTGTGTGATAAGAGAAAAGTGTGGTTTGGATTAAGAAGGAATGCTTCGGTGGTTTGGTCATGTGGAAAGATTGAATGAGGAAAGAGTGACAAAGACAATGTGTGTTGCAGAAATGAATGGCCGTAAGGGAACGTGAAAGGGACGTCCTAGGCGAAAATGTATCGACCAAATTAGCGATTTATTGAAAATGGGCTAAATTTGGAGTACCCTTAACCGACGAGCATGTATGTGTAGGTATATGGATGTGAAGGAAGCGAGAGAGGTATGTCAGGATCCTGCCAAATGGAAGTCTGTAGTCTCTGCCTACCCCTCTGGGTGAAAGGCGTGAGTGTTTACGATATGAGGTAAACCACCGTCCATGAACAACTGCAACGCCAGGGGGATAGTAGGTGCATTGCAGGCTTTAAAAAAAAAGAGGAATCTCGTATCTTGAAGGTCCATATTAAGTCGTTTCGGTCCGGAAAAATCGAGAGATCAGAATCGAAGGTTACAAGTTTTGCTATTTTCAATGCTCTCTCCGCAACAAGTGTAGTGAGTTTTGTCACGCTGTGCATTGGTGGAGTTTAGTGTCTGGAATTATTCCCTACAATAGTATTAATAACGTTTGTATTTGAATG